CCTTTGGCATTGCAGTCACTAATGGGATTTCCCAATATCATCATGTATGCCAAACAATCTACATAACACTGACAGGAATTTTATCTCTTAATATACACCTAAGGCACCTCGGTTTAACATCTCTTTCAAAAGATGGGGTGATTGAAAATGCGTCCTCCCCTCATACTACACTGGAGTGTTTGTTTGGACAATGACCTCAAGTCCCGATGTGGGGTTTTATTGTGGGAATGAGATGAAGGCAATATGATGAAGGCAATGTTTATCCCATACAAAATGTCTGTTTTATTGAATATGAAACACAATTTCTATTTAAGAATTATTTGCGTAACTTCTGGGCAAGCCCATAGTACAAGAGATTCTATAAAAAATTGGGAAAACTATCAGTACTTGATGAAGAAATGAACAGCAGTGCCCTCAAAAGTAACCTCAGTGATGGAGAGAATTAGATGATAGTATTCAGAGAGACCAGGAAAGATCGACTTTCTGTATGTTAAATAATTGGCAGCATTGCTAGATTTAACTGCATAAATTGAAAAAAAACAGGAAGTGACAAATCTTGTTTACAGTACAATGAAACCTACTGAGGATAACATTTATTGCAATTTTTCTATTGCATTTTGTTAGCATTTATGAAGTAATCCCTAGTACTTTGTTTATGGCCGTGGTATTTCAGGCAGTTTAATGGACTGCTTTAATGAGATTAAATCTGGCAGATTGACTCTAGAATTCTTTATTTTGTTTTTCTCTCATATTTCACAAGGCTATTACTCCACTTGACTTCACTTTGCCTCAGAACAATGCCTCAGACCTGTGTGATCTCAGCATTCTCCATTAAAAAGGATACAAATCCTATACTTTGAATCATTTTACAGACACCATGTTTATATTTGGATTTAAAGCTATGTCAATCCACAGTTATTTAGTAGAAACAACAACATCTTGCATTTATATAGCGCCCTTCACGTGGGGTAGTGTCTTATGCGCAAAAAAACAAATTCAGAAGGTTGAGGCAAAATATGTGATTGGGACACTGTAATATTCTGAATGTAAATCCAATCTACATTTGAGATATTTTGTTGAATTGAATCAAACATTAATTTATATATATAGAAAAATAACACTTTCCATTCCGAATTTTGACGTTCATCCCATTACTTAGCTTTCCCTTTCCTTTATCACACACCAGTTTCCTGATGGAGACAGGGAGGAGGCAATTAATTACTTGGCTTCTGCCAGTGCTGTTTGAGTGAGTGCCTTTAGAGAGGTCATTGCTCATCCTTTAGAGAGGTCATTGCGAAACCCACATTCTGCTTCTCCAAAGTGCAGCATGTCACTGCCCTCAACCCTTGCAGGTGTCTGGGATGATCAAGCTCTGTTTTATGGTTTCCATACTGTAGTACATCCATTGTGACAATGTTGCACTCCCTTTGGGAAGGGAGGGGCAATTATCTTCCCTAGAAATACAGTGTGTTTACTTACTCAGTCATCAGGAGTATTCCATTCCAAGCTGGTGATGTTATGAGCATGAGATTGATGTCTTGTAGTCACTCCCAGGTAACCATTAGTCTGCGTAACATTCAGAAAAAGCCTAGTATCATTCCAATTAACGTACAAAGTAGAGCCACTACACTTTAGAGTAAATCCTATGAAGTTCTTTCAGACATCCTCCCAATGTGAAAGACACTAATATAAGGATTGCTATAATGGAAGTCATAGAGTACAACATCACCTAAATTTAAATCAAATTGTGAATTCTGCCATTTGGCACTGTTTGCCAAGATACAAAAATATATTTAACCACTGCAGGAAATAATGAGCTGTGGAGAATGGAATGAACCTCCCACCTTGGGATTCAGTTGTATTTTATGGGTGGTGTTGCCGGGGAGACCGGCAAGGAGAGCACTGGAAAAATCAAAGTGAGGGGTAATAAATGCCTAAGTAATGGTTCAGCTGTGTTGGGTGTGAGGTATGGTTGGAGGTGATTGATATGGCGTATGGGGAGGAAAATGGTCCTGATTAGGGATTGAATGTGGAGTAGGAAGGACAGCTGGGTATTGAATCTGAAGCCTAAGTTTCACATATGTTCAGTGAGTCTGAGGGATTGGTTGAGGAGGTTAAGGAAGTTGGAGACGCAGGTGAGAAGACATTGATGGGAGCTAACGCAATACGCTTTCCAACCTCATTGCTATACCAAAATGTATTTTGCCACAAAATTACAGTCAATTCACTTTACAGTATATTCTGCAAAGTGTTTTGAGACGTCTTGAAGACGTGATAAAGCACTATAACAAATGCAAGGATTATTATTACACTGCAGGCATTGAAAAAAGTCTAAACCCAGCATTTAACTTGTGAAATCTATGCCACTAAGTATTCAATATCATTAATGCATGTTGACATTCACACCAAAGAGAATTAAAGACTAGTGTAATTTGTGCAGATTTAATAAGAATTCACATGCAGTTAAGGACCAGGGAATGCTCCATATCATGTGGTATGGAACAGACTGCAGATATTTTCTATGGCCAACTGCATACATTTAATATTGTCATATTTAAAAACGCTTTGGATTCAAACCGGACACTCTATGGAGACAGACAAGATACTACACACGGGGCGCAAAAGAGTTTCTGAATTTAGCTCCATTTGTGTCAGACCGTCTTCCTTTGTAGGAAGTTTGTAGTCGATGCCAAAAATTAACAAGGGCGCCTCCTCCACCCTGGAGGTATCCGGTGCTGAGTTTGAAACAGTCTCAACAAGTCTCTCCACGTAAATGCCTTGGTGCCCGACGTCCTGACAGAGCAGAGGATACAGGCGCCACAGCAGACCATCTGTCTGGTAGTGGTACCCAGGTGATCCACAGCAGGATCTGGCCACACATCTCTCCCACTCCCTCCTCCCCACTCACTCTCGAGCTCCTAAGGGCAGCATTCTTCAGATCAGTGCCTGTAACGCCGCATTACTTTGACACGAATGGATTCTGTTTTAAAAATGCCAGCTGTGCACATGCCTTGCCTTGAGGCAGTCAAGTGCATTGTATATAATTCCGAGGCCTCACCTTTTAATCGGGATCGGGCTCTATAGGTTAACGGTGTTACAATCCAGTGACAGAGATAACGTTATCTATGTAAATGCAGTCTTAAGTGGGGGACTTTGAATACGGTATTTAAAGGCTCTCAGCTCGGGTTTCCTTGGCAGTTTTCTGTGCATAGCTGGGCTGTCCACAAGACTTTGACCACGGGTGGAAACTACCATGAAATCAGAAACGTTTTCCTTCACAGGTTAGAGTTTTATTTTCCTGATTGGGGGCGAGATGATGTTTGCAAAGCATTGCACAGCAAGATGTGCTGGGCTCCTGCCTGCCTGCCCGTGCAGAGGAGTCCTGTGGGGTTTAGTGGGCTGCGGGGGGGGCAGAGATCTTGTTCTGTGTCCTTTTGCGACCCGGCTTGGCCGATCTCCTCGCTGGTTTGGGGTCAATTTTAAATACCAACCGCCTGCATTTCGAGACGAAGGCGAGTGAGCAATGGTGTCAAGAAATTGGACGCCAGTGACAAGCAGATCTGACTGCAAGTTATAGGAAGGGTTGCAGATACAGTGAGTGCCTGGCTGGTGGTGGTGTGTGTGTGTGTGGGGGGGGGGGGGGGGGGGGGGTGATTGCACAAGGGTCGGATCAATCCTTCTCTTGCGTTTGATCTGCGTGTAACCGATACCTCCCCCGTCACAGTTAGTTAAATACATCCGCTCGGAATCGATACAGAACGCAATCTCTCCTCAGTCAGTATCGGTGCAGTGATCGTTGCAGGATCAGTTGCACATGTTTGCTGCCCTGTGTTGCCCTTGGGTACATTGCTGCACATTAAGGAGCTTCTTTCCCGATCTGATTGCCTTTCGAGACCTGATTTCAATACAGTGCGCGGGTGCTGATCGAGTGGGTTGTATCAATCGGGGGGAGGAGGAGGGGATCGGTTTCCAGTCCCAGAGAGTGTCACCGTGTTTATTTTATCTGTGCAGCAGAATGCTGCAACCATGCGGCTGAGAGTTGACTGACACTCAGTAAAGCCCTGTTGCTGCTCCTCTGGTGCTGCTCCTCTGGGGCACTGACAGCCGACAGCCAACCTCACACACAAGGTTTACTGTGCAGATGGTGTCAGATCAACCACCCGTGTATTTTTAGAGATGAGTGCTAGTTGTCTATAGCGTTTGTACGCCACACACTGAGTTTGTAACGCGTGCTGTCATTTCACTGATGGGTTCCAGTGAGTGGAAAGTTACCACTATCTATTTGTGAAGGGGGATTTTTTTAAAAAAAAATCGATTTACGAAACTGAGGATTCTTTCAGTATTACTCCACCAATTAAGCTTTTGCTCACATCTGATGGCACTTGAACCATTTTCAGTTAATCTCCAGATTGGAACATGGTTTTGCAACTCGTGGTTGCAAAAAAAGTAACACACCAGGAAAACTACAGAACTACTTTAATGCAAGTTAATGATTACAAGACAGAAAGTACAGAGGCGGTGCAGGAAAAACACGAATTTAACTGAAACAGTTCCCTAAATATTGTGTGTTATAAAGCGCAACTGCAGATTCGCAGAGAGACTTTATTAATGTTTTCAGAAGGCGGGGGGGCGGGGGGGGATCAGGAAAGTTAACCTTTTATCTTGAAGTTATCTGTTATAAAATGATACCTGTGAAGCGGTAAACACGTTTGCACTATCAGCTGTGGGGTATCTGCTCTGATCTGACAGCAAAGTGGGGGTAAAGGAGAGGGCGGTGGGTTCATGTTGGGATCTCTCTCTCTCTCTCTGTCTGTCTCTCTCTCTCTGACGTTGTTCCTCTGGGAGGAGACGGTGAAGTTGACCAGAACTGACTAAGAACTGACTAAGAGCTGCCTGGACTGCCCGCCTGGCGACCAGCACTGCTCACACCCCCGCCCCCGCCCCCAGGCTGAGCTGAGCTGAGTTAGTTAGTTAGGTAGTCAGTGTGCCAGCTGTATGTGTATATAAAGCCTGACTGCGGCTCATCACATTCAGCACTGTCTCCCCCCTCGGCGCTGAGCAGAGCAGAGCAGAGCAGGCGAGGAGCGAGCTGTGACCACTCAAGCCATTTAAACCTCCACATTTCCGACCAGATCCCCATCGCTTTCAACTATGACTGTCAAAACCAGCGCGGGATCCACTGTAACTTATTCCAAAATGCGAGGGGTGGTCGCAATTCTCATTGGTAATTTCATTTCATTTGTATTGCCTTGTTAATCGAGGGAGGACTTTGTGCGGTGGAGGAAACTGCAGCTGAAACGTTTTAGATGTCGGAATTGGCCAACTTTTCCTTTTTTAAAAAAAAAAGTTGCACTGCAAAGGCGTGAACTGACGAGTGACTCTCAAGTCACTTATTTTTAAGGGTTGTTAATGAATGTTGAGTTTGAAACTGGGAAAGATCGCTACAAAAAGGCAGCTGCGCGCTTTCCTTCAGCATTTTCCTGCTGCAACTCCACAGCGCTAAAACTCCTCCTTAACTTTTTTTTTGTTGTTGCAGCTTTTATGAAGCAAAAGCGAATGGGACTGAACGATCTCCTTCAGAAACTAGCCTCCTCGCAGCCATACGCCTTTAAGCAGTAAGTATCCTCCATGGCTATATGGGTGAAATTTTCCGGTACAGCGGTGCTGGTGCGCTCGGTTTGCTGCACAGGAGTCGGTAACAAGACCTGCCCTGTGTGTGGGGCTTTGGGGAATGAATGAGATTCCCACCGGGTCCTGGCGACTGATCTCATCTCACCACCAAACCGCTGGGACCATAGTGCGTCTGTCCCACTGCAGTCAGTGTGCGGCGACATCTCTGACTCTGTACAATCTTCAATCTCCTTTTATTAAAAGTGAGACGCTGTTTTCTTTGGACGCTGTGCACCGCAGCGCCGCGTCCAGTTGTTAAGAGCCATCTCCCCTGCAGCCTGGTCCATTCTCCCAACAAACCTTTTCCTTACTTTTTTTTTGTTTGAAACAGATCTGAGGTTCCAGCCATGTTGCACGTCAGCCCCAAAGAAACGGAATCCAATGAAAACAACCAGTCTTCCCCTGTAAGTATTTCAGGAAAGTCAAGTGTTCAGTGCATTTTACCCTCAACGTTTCTCATAACTCTGGTGTTGACTGTCCTATGGCTTCTTTTACAGACCAGTCCCACTACAGCACAGATTAACCTGGGTCCTTCCTCCAACCCTCAGTAAGTGTGAATAGATCTATTGGTAATTGGTTTGGATTTTATTTCACCCATCACTGTGCGACCTTGGAATGCAATAAACTCTGAACTTTTTCTTAACTTTTTCCTTCAGGGCTAAACCAGGTGATTTCAACTTTCTGAAAGTGATTGGAAAAGGAAGTTTTGGAAAGGTTCGTAAGCATTTTCACTATCACTAATTAAATACAAAAATGTACTTCTCCCCCCCCTCCCTCCCAAGTGCCCTATCTAAATCTTCTTTTGCACACACAGGTTCTTCTTGCAAAACGCAAACATGATGACGAATTCTACGCAGTAAAAGTCTTGCAGAAAAAGGCCATTTTGAAGAAGAAAGAGGTACGGTAAAATGCATATACTTCAGGATTTCTGGAACTTTCTTTCATTGTGCACTGCTGCTGCATCGACAGTGTAAACCTAGTGTAAGCTTGAAAAGTACTGCTTTAGCTCCTAGAATAACCCTGTCAAACGTGCCTGAACTTCGGCTGCATTTATATTCTTGTACACGGATTCAATTGGATTGTACTTCACTTCTATGAATTTTTCTATTTCAGGAAAAGCACATCATGTCAGAGCGTAATGTCCTGCTGAAGAATGTGAAACACCCTTTCCTGGTGGGGCTCCACTACTCTTTCCAGACAGCTGACAAGCTTTACTTTGTCCTGGACTACATCAATGGAGGCGAGGTGAGCCATAAGGGATTGCAAGACTATATTTCCTGTACTGACTAGCAGTGGTGTAATAGACTTATTTAAAGGGGAGCTTTAACAACGGATGTTGAGAACAGACCCTAGAATTAGTAACAGTAATTGGCTGCCAAGTGAGAAACACCATTTGGAGATTGAAGGAGGCGGGGGTGGGGGGGAGCGCAGGCCATTTCCTGTCATTGTTACCATATAGCACTGAAGGGCACTTTGTTTTCATTAGTTTAATGAGTGAATTTCTATTGTGCTTTCTTCTGCAGTTGTTTTATCACCTACAACGGGAGCGTTGTTTCCTTGAACCACGAGCTAGGTTTTATGCTGCTGAGATTGCCAGTGCCCTGGGATATCTTCACTCTCTCAACATTGTTTACAGGTTAGTAAAGACTTGAAAGTCTTGCAGTAAAACCTTGCTCCTCTTTCCATACCTTACACTGGGTAATAGAGTGAGATTTCTAATTTCTCTCGTTTCCATTTTACCCAAGGCATGAAGTGACGCATTTTGTTTATTTGTGTTCTAGGGACTTAAAACCAGAAAACATCTTACTTGATCACCATGGACATATTATTCTGACTGACTTTGGGCTGTGCAAAGAAAACATTGAACCCAAAGGCACCACTTGCACTTTCTGTGGAACACCCGAGGTAAATGAAATGCCCATTCTTCATAACTCGTGCAATTATTGCTGTGTCAGTTCTGTTCCAAGCCCACAATTTCTGTTTTTATTTAAATAAAATACTTCAAATTTGACTTTTGAAATGGACTCCCAAGAGGTACATTTCCATAGTGAATGTTAACAGACCAGGTCTGGAATGCATCAGAGTTAATTTCTCTTTTGCTTGCTGTGAAATGCCCTGTTTATATTGCAGGGCTTCTGAATATAAATAAAGCAGCGCTGTTGTCTCTGGAAGCACTGCCTATAATATCCTGAGATGGGTGTTCATCTCACTTCCAGGGACACCAGACACCATCTCACCTGCAGCTTCAGAAATCCCATCTGCTAGTTTGTACTGGCTGTAGGTGGGAATGTACATATGGCAAAAGAGGCATTTTAAGCTTGGCTTGCATTATGGTTTCTAATGTACATGTTTTCATCTTTCACAGTACTTGGCACCTGAGGTTTTACACAAGCAGCCCTATGACCGAACAGTTGACTGGTGGTGCCTTGGTGCTGTCCTGTACGAGATGTTGTATGGACTGGTGAGTGTCCCCAAAATGTTGGTGGATGTGAATGTAAATAATTCCTTAATTTAAAGGTGTATTCTAAAGTAAGCGAGTGTCAGCTTGGTTCAGTTGGTAGCACTCTCACAGTTGAGTCAGAAGTTTATGGGTACAAACATATGGTGGAACTTTGAGCTTATAGTCTATGTTGATACTTCACTACAAAGCTGGGGAAGTGCTACATTGTCAAAGGTGCTGTCGTTCAGATGAGACCAAGTTAAACCAAAGCCCCTTCTGCTTGTTCAGGTGGACATTAAAGAACCCATGGTACCATTTGAAAAGAGATTTTTCTCTCAGTGTCCTGGCCAACATTCCCCCCAAATAAAATTGGTCCTTCACTTTATAGCTATTTCTGGGACAGTGCCTTGTGCAAATTCGAACCCATGTTTATCTCCAAATAGTCTTTGCACTTTGCAGGAAAATTTGGTGAAGCGCTTTGAGATTTTTCAATGACAATGATAAACCATAATATTGAATACAAGGATTATTATTAGATAACCTTTTCCTTGTGCTTTTATGCAGCCACCATTCTACAGTAGAAACACTGCTGAGATGTACGACAATATTCTGAACAAACCACTACAGTTAAAGCCAAACATCTCCAATGCTGCCAGAGAGCTGCTGGAGGGCCTGCTGCAGAAAGACAGGACAAAACGCCTGGGCGCAAAGGAAGACTTTGTAAGTAAACACTTCCTTGTGATAAAGTTGCTTTCTATTGTCTTATTCCTTGTGGGGAAACAGTTAGGTAATCTATTTGGTTCATTAAATTAAAGATGAGGAACCAGTTTACTCACAAGTTGTATTGCATAAGTTTGAACAGCAACTCCCTCTTATGATTATATTTGAGACAATTACATTTTGATACCCATTGGAATAACATACCTTTTTAAACTGGGTGTGGCTTTGAAATGGAGACATTTGCAGTGCCTTTTAAAACTCAAAAATCAAAGATCTTTTTATCCTTCATTGTTCACATCTGTTTAATTGACTGTGGTGCCCCTTTTCTACAGAATGAAATCAAGGCCCATGTCTTCTTTTCTCCAATAAACTGGGTTGACCTGAATGCCAAGAAGCTGATGCCACCCTTTAACCCCAACGTGGTAAGTAATTATTATTCAAACATTACCTGACTTTCATGGCATCATTTGCTGTTTGTGGATACTAAACAGCTTAAACATAAATTTTGTGTCTCTTAAATGGTAAATTGTGTTGTATTTTTGCTGTAAGACTAAAGCCAAGAGTTGTAACCCTTATTGCTTTTTCCCCCCAGAGTGGACCTTCTGACCTGCAACACTTTGACCCAGAATTCACAGAGGAACCAGTCCCAAACTCGATAGGCAAATCACTCGATAATGCTCTAATTACAGCCAGCATCAAGGAAGCATCTGACGCCTTTCTGGGATTCTCTTATGCCCCACCCATTGATTCCTTCCTGTAGTGAATCATCAAACCATTTCCTGATTGTGGGTTAACTTTGTCTGAACTCTCTTTTGGAGAGTTTACCAAGCCATGAGACTCACCCGGAAAGAGAATTGCCACATCTCATGGGCAGTTGTCTAGGCTTCCATTCCATTTCTGAGGTGATGAAGTCTTCGGGGAGCACTGTGATGCTTGGTGTGTCTGGTAGATGGTTCTGGCAACTGGTGATGCAAATGCACATCAGGAGAAAGTGCATTTTTTTTGTTTTTTAAAAAAAGGGATGAAATAAGAATCTGCTGTCATCGCACCATTTCCAAGATTTTTGTTTCAGACCAGACATGAAACAAAGTGGTGATTGTCTGAAGAGACTGTTGTTTCAGCTACACGTGCCTTTTGCTGTCAACAAGGTCGTCCTGTTGGAGCTGGTGTGATCACAGTCAAGTGTTGTGCTGCAACATATGCAAATGTGAACAGTGGTACAAGTGTGGCTAGATCCTGGCCATTGACTGTTCATTCTATTGTCTCACCATTGACTTGAGTGATGTTGGTTACCAGGACAGCCACTACACGATGGGGCATATTTGTCACTTCCATACTAGGAAGATGAGATACTATCTTTTATATAATTACCATTCCCTCCACTTTTCCTTCCCCCAACCCAACTACCAGTAATCTTTAAAATAGTTCACTACAACGTGCTTAAAGCATTGCTGCTATGAGTAGAACTATAGATATATTTCTAGGACCAAAATGCCCCATTTGTGCAGTCAGTCTTATAACTTCCACCTGGCTTGTATGTGCTTGTCATCTTGTGTGTGTGTGTATATATAAAATAACAATTTTATTTTTGTTTTGTTTTTGCATTCCAAATTTTAATGGTTGTCTCATTTCAGTTGTGCATATGTAAAGAAATCTATATATGTTGTGATCAGTTGCTGCACTAGTTTTAATGTATATGTATATTTAAGACTTTATTAGTAATGTAAATGGTATTTCTGTATAATATACTGTAATTTTAATTTGAAATATATACATTCCTAAACAAAGGTTGGGTTTGCAATAAATGTGACAATATTTTTTAAAAAAACTTGTCTTCCAGCTATTGTATATAGAATAATAGAATGCTTTGAACGCAGAAGCTAGTCATTCAGTCTCATCTTGTCTGTACTGATTGTTCCCATCACACCAGTCATTGCTAGGCTCTACTGGCTCCCAATCACCGAACGGATCGACTTCAAGATTCTCCAACTTATTTTCAAATCACTTAATTCTCTCGCACCTCCCTACCTATCTGATTTGCTTACCCCCCCAATCCACCACCCGCTGCTTCCATTTGGCTGGTTCCGGCCTCTTAATTGTCCATCGTGCCCTCCGCTCCACCATCAGTGGCCATGCCTTCAGCCACTATGGAACTCTCCCTTGAGCCCTTCGCCTTGCCCCCTCCCTCCCCACCTTCAAATCCCGCTTAAAGACCTTCCTTTTTGATCATGCTTACAGTCACCTCTCCCCCTCCCTCTCTTGGCTCATTGTCAGACCCTGCCATTGTGAAGCGCTCTGGGATGCTACCCCTCGTGAAGGGTACTATTTAAATGCAAGTTGTTGTTGTTGTTGTACTGGTGCTAGCTCTCCCACAAGCACTATCTACTTTAATTCCATTTGCCTGCTCTTTCCCCCACTGTGATCAGTCTTTGCTAACTTGTGTGGTCAGAACAATAAGGTTTAAGTAATAACCAGCTCTCTGGCTCTTATTACGACAATAATTTAGAAATGGTTTAAACATTACAAAACATCCATGTTACACAATGATGTAAACCACAGAGTATCACAAAGTAAGCCAGAAGGGTGTGTGCAGGTTCATTTAAAAAGTGAAATGTTTCTATCACCTCACTAAATGTTTAGAAATGCACATCCAGGATGTAAAAGCCCCAATGTGCCAGGCATTGCTGGGTAATATGATATGGGGCTGGGTAAACTGGGTTATATCCTTTGGAGCTAAGCAGATAAGGTGATCTGACTGAAATGTTTAAATTAATGAAGAGAATTGGCAACCTAGATAAGGGTTGTCAACTCTTTTCCACTGGTACCAGTCATCCAAAAATGCACCTTAGGGTCCTAAAATTAAAGCCAAGCCAGCTAGAGATGAAAATAGGAACATTTCCCAGCGCAGAGAGTAGTGAGAATTTAGAATGCACAGTTACTGGATTGTAGTTGCAAAATTGATTGGGATGTTTAAGAGGGAGATAGGTACCTGGTAAATAAGAGCATTATGAGATATGGCGAGAGATGCGAAAATGACATTGAATGACCTGCAGTGAATAATCATTATTTTATTAATGGAAAAAGCTCAACGGACCAAATGGCCTAATCCTGAACCGGTGTTTTTCCTTCCTTTGTTATGCTACTGTATTGTAAAATTCATTGCCCAGTCATATTCAAGCTACTCAATTCTCCAATGGTTTAAACACTCACAATAAATTCAGAAGTGGAAGATCATGCCTGACAAGCTTGACGAGCTTTGAGGATCATACAGATAATAGGAGATAGCAGCACTATTCCCTATAACATAGTTTTCAGAAGCTTTTGGCAAAGATCCAAAGGTAAAGGAATCCAGTGAAGAATATGGGCCACGGTAAAATAAATCAAGTGGCATCAGGAGAATTGGCTTTTTGACTCTAGTTTGTGTGTCTGTATCTGTACCTGATAAGTGATTGTCATATTTAAGTTTCAGAAAAGCTCCAGACGGTGTAGCTACATATATCTGGAGATAGAGATTTTTCAAACTGAGAATGCAAAAGCTAAAGTTTGTTTTGATCTTGTGGTAAACTGCATATTTCCCCCAGGGCTTTCATTATGCTTTGAAACTAAAGGAAAGCAGCAGGAAATACTGCAGGAAACCTCACATTGAGGGTGTTCAAAAGAGAACATTTTGTTCCTGAAATCTGGATTGAATTTCATTAAAAGTTACCAATGAATAGCGAACGCTTTTGCGTAAGAATAATTTGAGAAATGATCTTCTTGCCTGTTTCTAATGAAACCTCCGAGTATCTCACCTAACCTTTGCTGCCTTTGCTTGCTTCAAAGTAACCTCCCTCCTCTGTCACAGCAAAAATCTAAGACAGGAAAAAGTGCACATATTGGCAGGATAAGCCTCATTGCTTCTAAAAGACACTTTTTCAAAGCTGTTCCAGGCACTAATTCCTGTTAAGGAAAGTACTCTGTTTATATAGTTATCAACAGGATGGAGATAAACATGAGTACTTTCAACCTGCCTTTCTTCTGTCCTTATCCCACGCCATTCAAGTTTTTTTTAATGTCAGGAAGCTGTAATAATACAGCAAACTCCTCAGAATAAAAGACTGATTTATATTATCACATGGCTTATATCATCATGTTGCCAATACCCTGGCTGCTCCTCATGCAAAATGTGAATAAAGGACCGCTCTTTATTTCATCACTCTGCTTACCATGTGTAAAGTCGCATTCTACACATCCCCGTAAGTAAAATATTGGATAATAATAAGCCTTGCATTTGATATAGTGCCTTATCACATCTTTGAAATGTCTCAAAGCGCTTTACGTCATATATCATCAAAGCAAACTTTACCTGCACCACAGGCAAATGTCGCACACTCACGATGAGTGGTTAAGTGCAGGGAAACATGGAAATGAAAATGAAGAAAATGGAGGATTGTAATTGTAAGCCAGTATTAATTTCTGAAGGTGGGTTGGTCCTCAAAAGGTTCATCTAACTTAGCCCAAAGAGCTATCTGCAGAAATGACTCATTGTTATGCATTTGGAAAAGTGAGAGAAAATCCCTGCATAGAATGTGTCATAACCCTTCAGAAGGAAAGCGACAGAAAATCTAAATCAGTGACAAACATTCAGTGAAATGCAAAGTGTTAAATATTCATTGCATATGCTGCCCATTTAGCTGGTACTTGACAACCAGGCATAGCATAAACATATAGTGTGTAGTTGGTGCAGGTCCTCCCAGCTACAGCGCACCCTAGTGGGCCCAGCGAACCCCTGTCTACATAATCATCCCAGTATATAGTGTCACTGAGCTCTTTTCCCTTTAAGTGATAATATATCAGGAGTTTACTGTGTACTGTAATAATAATCCTCATGTTTGATATGGCGCCTTATCAAATCATTGAAACATCTCAAAGTGCTTCATAGAATTTTACTGTTAAGTGTTGTGGCTGTATATTTGGGGGCAGAAATGTCTGAAGATGCTTTACAGACAACTGTTGTCAAGCGTAGTGAAGCAAAGGCAAAAGCAATTTGGGCACAGCAGGTCCCACAAACAGCCATGAAATGCATAACCAATATATCTGGAAGTTTGTGGTCATGGATACATTTCTTTTTCTATCAGTATCCTGGGGACTTTCATGTCTACCTGAATAGGCAAATGTGACCTTGGTTTAAAAGCTCATCCCAAGGACATAAGGTATTTTTTTTCTTTTTTAAATGTTTAGTGTGTTCAATTATTTTTCTAATTTTCTTTCCCCATTGCTCCTGGTCTGCCCCACTTGTCGGGAGCGGAGTCAGGAGAGCGCAGGGCGGAGCCGAGGCATAGATGTGGGTACAAAGCCCAGCCAGGTGAGGAGCCACTCAGTCGGGAGTGGAGTCAGAAGAGCGCGGGGGGGGGGGGGGCGGGGGGGGGGGAGTGACGGGGTGGCGTGAATCACAAAGTGACGTCGGCGTAATGTCACAGTTAAAACACCAGCAACAACAACAATGGCCTGGCAGCCGCTGCCACTGCCATCCCAGCCATGACCACCCAGCCTGCGGGCTGATGCCATCCCGCTGATCGCTCGCTCCCGTTCTCTGCGTGCGCATTTTGGCTGCCGCCCCGACCCGAGCCTCTCCCTCCCCCTCCACTCTAAATGTCTCTCCTCCCACCCCCCTCCGTCTGCTAATCCTACTCTGTCCTTCTCTCCCACCGCCCTCCCAGCCTTCTCTCTCTCCTCGACCCCATCACCGCTTCCCTCTGCTCCAACCTGGGCATCCTCCGCTGGGCCCATCATGGTTCCCGGCACTGGCTGTCCCAGAACAGCAACTCCAAGTGCCCAATCATTCACTCCCTCTGTTCAAACCACCTCCTTTAGGCAAACCCAACTTCCCCTCCCTCATACTCTCCACTCACACCACTCTCCACAACTATCTCTCCTGTATACCCCAAAATCCTCTCCGCATCATTCTCTCCTCCCTCTTCTCCCTCCAGCAAACTCACCCGCATTTCCCTCCAAAATGTCCGTTCCCTCTCAAATAAAGCCCTCACCATCCATGATCTCATCCTGGACGAGCACCTTGACATTCTTGGGCTCACCGAAACCTGGCTCTCCCCCAATGACCCCATCCCCCCAGTGGAAGCATCCCCTCCTGGCTACACCTTCCACCACATCCCCCATCCAAACCAACGTGGCGGTGGGGTGACCTTCATTTCCAAAGCCTCCCTTGGTCTTACCCCCTACTCCTCTGGCTGCTTCCTCTCCTTCGAGCACCTCACCCTCTTCCACCCCTCTCTCCCTTTGAAAATCCTCCTTGTCTACCACTCCCCTAAGCCTCCCGGCTCCTTCCACACAGACATCTCTACACTCCTCTCTTCCCTGTCCCTCTGTTCCGAACATCTGCTCATAATTGGCGATTTCAACCTCACCTAAATTCCCCTTGCACCACGTCTGCTGACTTCACTGCACTCCTCTCCTCCCTAAACCTCACCCTCCACATAAATTCACCCACCCACAACCGTGGTCATGCCCTTGACCTCGTTATCACCCACGGCCTTGACATTTCCGACCTCAGAGAGTAGAGATGTCAGCATAGTGGACAAGGCCATCTCGGACCACTTCCTCATCTCCTTCTCCTCTCACATCCCTTTCTTCTCCACCAAGCCCTCAACCATCCTCTACCGCTCTTGGAAAAGGCTACCCCCGAGATCCTCACAAGGGTCCTCATGTTATCAAACATCCTATTCGCTCTGGCCTTTCACCCGCGGAGATCCTGAAACAGCCGTCCAGCTGCTCCATGATCGCCTCTCCTCCACCTTCAACTCCCTCGTCCCCCTGAAATCTAGGACCATC